GGTTTCTGGGAGCGGTATACGTTGAGGCCGAGTTGGAAGGAGGGAATCCGGGCCTTGTGCCGTTTCACATTAGCCCAAGTAGAAATGACGAGATCATACTGGGAACTAATGCCCTCAGTAAATTAGGAGTCAAGGTATCCATAGTTGGGAAAAAAGAAGAAGACGGCCGAGGGCATCTAGGCAGAAAAAATGAAAGGGGATCGACAGTAGGGTGCATATACGTGCCACCACGCAAGGTGGGCCGTGTGTCAAAGCAAAGCGATGTGTATCGTCCAGAGGAAGTCGATCGAGTTCCTCCAGCTAGTAAAAGAGGTTCTGCACACGGCATGCACTGTGCTCAACAGGTGAGGGTCGTCAAACCTTCTCCGGAGGAAAGAGCAGATGCGGGACACAGAAGAGCGCATAAGAATGGAAAAAATAAGCAAAAAGTTGAAAATGGCCAAACAGAACCAGTAAGAGGAACTGTGTCCAAAAATTGTAGAGCGCACCCACCTATTCAAGGAAAAAAATCAATTCAAGGAAAGGATTTTCTACAGAGTCGAATTGCCACGGCCGGGCGTCAAGCGGTCGATGAGGGCATCGACTTCAGCGAGGGGGGGCATGTCAGAGAGGAACATGCCGCCTGGAGAGATCAGCTGTAGATCAGCTGGTCTGAGCGGTATATCGATAAGGAGGTGGTAGGGGTTGATCGCGGGGGGTCATGGAGGCCACCTTTGCCAGAGGGAAACGACTTGGGCGGGAAGGTCCCAATAAAAGGGGTCCGTGTTCCTATGCAGTACTTCTTCTCTCCTGTTCCAGTTCCAGAGCTCCGGTGTTCCAGAGCTCTGGTGTTCCTGTGTACCTGTATCCAGTTTCAGTGGCATCTGTGTGGTGCCTTATCGGTGTGGTTGGTTGGGAGCTGTACGGCCCGTAGGAAGGAGGGCCTAGGCTCCGGAGAGAGAGCCTTAGTGGCTTGGTGAAGAGCCTTAGTGGCTTGTCAGAGAGGAGCCTCAGTGGCTCAGTAACTTGGCCTGAGTGGCCTGAAGAGAAGAGCCTTAGTGGCTCGCTGAATAGGCCTCAGTGGCCGTTGAGAAGAGTCTCAGTGACTCGGGTAGTGTAAAGAGCCTTAGTGGCTCGACGGAAAAAGCCTTCGTGGCTCAACAGTGGAATCGGATTACGCCCTGCACCTGTTGTGGACCTCCGATCAGTGGTCGCCCAGCCCTCGGACATCGTCCACCTCCAGTGATCTGTTCTTTCGTTGTTGTTGTTGATTTGACTAACCAATAACCTTCCTTTTCTACTTGTCTTGAGCACAGTTTAGGGGTCACTCGACTCGTCGCAAAACCACACATCAATATTTTTTACATGTGCCTTTTTTTTTTCTGTTTCATCACAATATCTGCGAACAGGTTCAGTACAAGATGCATTCAGTATAATATAACATTAAAGCACGAAGTCGAAGCCAACAAAAAGAGCAGACATATTGTAGTTCATGTGAGTTGCGTGGATTCATTGCTAACCAAAATTTCAATTCACCATCCAATTTTGCTTATTTCAGTACGCGCCGTTCCAGTTCAGAAGATCGAATCCTCCCATGTTCCAGGCAAGGTAAGACTTTTACAGATTTCTCCTAGCATGTCTCGTCGGATCTACAGCCAGGGTCAACCGTCCGTCCGTTGTGCCGATTCCAAAAATTACCATGGCCCTCTCTTCACGGTGCTTCGACACCCCCTCCTCCCCTCCCACCGCTACCATCATCCTACTGTGGCTGTTTCTATAGATTTTGAGAAAAGATGACGCATTTCAACTGCGCCCAAAATTTCCTCTGTCGGGTCCACGTCCACTGTGAAGGGGCGTGGCCCGGGTCACGGTATCAAAGGAGGCTGGCGTTGGCTAGCCGGGGCTCGACAGTGATGGTCCAACCCTGACCATACTCACTCCGCTCTACGGCCCTCTTCACAGTAGACGTGGACCCGACACCTCCAAAACTGAGGGAGCGAGGAGGGGGTGGTATGAGGGGCAAGCACACCAAACGAAACGGCAGATGCTCTGAATTTCTCTTTTCCATGCTTCTGTCCAAGTTTCCGATCCCTTGTTACTACCAACAAACACACAAAAACAAAAAACTGATGGATTGTTACCCGTGCAAATCCCGCCGTACATCTGTCACAAATTTTGGCGACGGGAACGATTCCACTTGGTTCTCGGAGTGCCTTCACTAGGAACTCCTTTTGGCCTTTCCACCTATGGCATAACATCTCTTTTCTACTGCATCCTATTCTATCGATCGTTTTGTCTCTATTTCCCGAATTCGAACGCTTCAACCAGATTCTTTCAATGCAACTCATGATACGCAGTGCACTTCTTTCCATACGTTCCCTTCTCCCCGCCTGATCTACCTGCGACCGTCCCTAGAGTGTGGTTTTTGTAGGTTTGTTTCTCTTCGGAAACTGAATCTTTTTGCGTGAAACTTTGTGTGTTGTCTCTAGTGATCACAACTGACATATTCATGTTGGGAAATAATTTTCCGGGAATGGATTCCTTTGATTGCCAAGCATTGCTGAAATATCGTCGAGTATCTCAGCTTTATAGGTAATGATGCCTCCCATTACAGTTCCAGGAAACATCAAGACGGATTCTAAGCAGTGAGAAACCGGAGGAGTACGTATTGTAAATGACAAAGATTAAATCAGCCAAAGCTCAACATGCACATATTAAATCTCATTTATTTCATTAACTAGACATTTAAAATAAATGAAAGAATATATGTACATATGTTAACATGAAATGATCACTAATTATCCTGTAAATTGTATTAGAGCGGTATTAATAAAGATAATTGTGTTCAAGAAACCCGCAATCGATCACAAAGTCAGGCCTTTCAAAAAGACCAACTACCATTAGTGCCTGCAGCGGACCCGGCGCTAAGTGAGCGAGGTTACTGGGTGGAAATGAGCAAATGACAAGGGTGACCATTCAGAAAGACACTGTGACCCAGATCTCAGCATTAACAGAAAAATGAGCAAACAGTATTGGAGCAGTGAAATGCGAAGGCTGAAAACTGCCAAAGAAAAGCATAACAAGAAAAGTCGACTAGAACAGCAGTGCTTGCGATAGCATTTTAAGGCGCTTGCCACTCGAAAAGCTTGAAACTGCACCAGAGCGGCGTTGGAGGCTTCAATCGGAAGGTGTGCGTGGCAACTCGGGCACATTTCTACGACGTCGTCGCGAAAGCAGCCCTATACCGACAAGTGCGATAGCCAGGCCGACGAGTTCAAGAATCGTAGTCACGTCGAAAACATCGTGCACTGAACGTACTTCAGCCAGTACGCGACCGGCACGAACGCATAGCACATTATATGGAATCAGACCTGAAACTGCCAATTTCAATTACAAAAAGAGATATTGTCTAAAGTTACTCATGTCCAATGCTAACACACCAACCTAATATAGAGGGAGGTCTTTGCTTGTCAACTCACAGCAGCATTGCGCTTAATTGCGGCTTCAATAGCTCAAAAAAGGAGTAGAAGGAAACATGGAGGCGTCTCGTAGCTACGCTACGAGAGCTTCATATTCCCTTCTACTTCTGCACCATTTCTTTGATTTCCATCCATTTTCCTGGTTGATTAGTAATCAAGGAAGGAGTGGAAGAGGGTAAAGGGGGCAAGAATCGATTAGGAAAGAACGGAAAAATATAAGCAGGTATAATAATTATGCATAGAGACAACTGAACAATCACCTGGTCCAGCAAAATTCACTGCTCGCGGTCGTGGGGCGCACCGTGCCGTGCAGGTGTTGGAACGAGCTATTTCGAGATATCGAAAATGTACCTCTCTTTCAGGGCTCTTCCCCTTGAAAATTATTCGAAAAACACGAAAGTCACTTTAGGCGCTAGCTAGTCTGTGTTAGGGTTTTCGTAGGAGTCTAACTCCACCGAGGCAGTTAAAATTTACATGTGGCTTTTTACTTTTTGAACGACCTATAACTTTTTTTACTAGGCTTTCAAATAGCTGAAGACAAAGTCAAGACGAAAAGACAGTGTAGCCCTGGTAGCTCGTATTAAGAAGCAAAAAGCCGAATGCATTAGGTAGGGGCAGCTCTTCGCTCAGTCGTAAATTCCGTTCCGCAGGTATCTTTCATCCTTTGTGAGAGAAATTGAATGACAATACAACGAGGCCGAAGTTTGGCCAAGTACGAGGCTTGTTGAAGACATGCATGGCGCATATCAGATGTGCTAGGGCAAGGAATGTTCTCAAGAGAAGAACAGTTTTCATCAAACTTTTCACTGTGCCTCTCACGAACAATTAATTATCACTACGTACCTATTAGCACTGTTGACGCGTGAAGAAGTAGTGTAACTCCAACGAATGGAGAGCAGATATTCAGCAACCAATGAGGGCAGAAAGGCAAGATTCGAGCACCAAGCAAAAACATGAAGAGCTGCTGTCGTTCAACAATGATCTAAAGCAAAAAATGAAGAGCTGCTGTCGTTCAACAATGATCTAAAAAAATTTCGAGTAGAAAGCAGTACGGTAAATTATATGTATAGTCATCATACCTTCCTCCGAAGAATCATTAATCCTGCGAGAAAATCTGCCTCAACAAAGGTCGCATGTAGAGAGAGAGAGTGTGTAGCAAAATAGTCGGCACCGACTGCATTCAAAAATGCATACAAGGACTGATCCGAGATACACACCAAAAAGAGCGCCTGCGAGAAGATTCTGAGAAAAATGCATTTTTTGCTATGGAACTACCGGAAGGTTTCGATAAAATACAGCAGTTCATAACGTCGCGTCGCCTAACGCATGTTGTCGTTCGATCTGCTTTGCCCTTCATGCCGCGATAGTTTACTGACAAAAATTTTTCATGGAAAGGTGATAGTCAACATTTACTACTCCCAAGAGTACGCAGAAACTGGCTCACTTATTTATCGCAAAAAGCAATTATGCGCATTCTGTGGCGATAAAAATGATCAAAAATTATCAAATTAGCGTCGTTTCTCTAGATCCCACCCGGTTTACGGACTACTTGATTTTTCCTCAATGGTCCTGCCGCGATGGCTAGAGCACAGACGATTAGAGAACGGGTGAATGCCCTAGGACTAAGCCTTGGAGAGGAGAGGGACCCGCGAGAGAGCGCAGAGGCGGTTTAAAGGGCTGAGTTCAAGTAGTCCGTCGGAACGATTCCACCCATGAACCGTACATTCCACCATGACCGAGCAGTACAAGCAGTTGCAAAAGTTCAACTAATCCGATTGCATTTCTCCAAGGGTCGTCAGAAGAGTTCGATATCGATGAAAACTTCAGCGAAAAACGCTGGTTTTTTTGGGGAACTTCTCAGGTACCGTTCACTTCAAACAGTCCCGTAAGTAAACTTTGCAGAACAACATTGAAACTTTGAAAACAAAATGATGAAGAATTCTTTTTTAGAAAGATAAACGGAATCTAAATCTAAAATCCACATACCAAGAAAAAAGATCCTGGAATGGCGAACGTTTGCTTATACAGATAAGCGTAGCCAAAAAGCGTTATGGTATATAAAAGATGAGCGTTCCTAAAATGGGACGTTTAACAATCATGAATTACAGGAGAAACTCGAACATTTGCCCCTGTGTTGTCACTTTCAAAGCACCTTCTGCTTCATAACTGCTTCTTCAACGTGAACCAACTGTAATGGCGATATAACAATGCAACCAGGGGGGGGGAACCACTCTACTTAGTAGAACGGGACGGGTGATGTGCGAGGTAGGACACATTCATAATCGTCGTCCGATCGCAATGATCGCACAACATTGGGTGCGTATCGATCGTCAAATGTGCCTGAGGACTGGAGATCGATACGTATCTAACACTGTGCGATCGTTACGAATCGGACGACCTGATGTGATAGCGTTCGTACGTTAAATGGATGTTGTTGCTGGACTGCTTACAGTAAAGTGAAAGAGACGAGTTCCCTCTTTTTCCTTCTTCTCAAGAATCCCTTCTTCTCCCAAGAATCGCGCCATTCGTTACATGGGTGAGGTTCACTAGGACAGAAGACGACTTTTCCGCATTTCGCCCGCGAAACTTTCTTCACTGCGAGAATCCCAGAATCTCTTACTGATCAGTAGTGGACCTGGATTTTCGCAGCGGAAAATTTCGCGCTGCGAAATGCGGAAAAGTCGCTTTCTGTCCTAGCGAACCACACCCTCGTTGTATAGGTATCATATTTTTCCGAAATGAAGTAAGTTTCGTAAAAAAAAATCCTTCTTGTACTCACTTGTAGTGCTCCAATAAGTCGGCCAGCTCGCGAAGAGCATCAAGATCTTTCGGAAAGGCCAACGCACTGCGTGACTCTGAAGGAGGTGCCATGCTCCAAATGAAAATAAGGAGCATTGTTGCTGCCGCAAATGTCGCCACTAAGCCGGCGAGGCGCAGCATCGAAGTGGGAGCCTCCTCTTCTTGGCCCTGTAAAGATGGCGCAAAAATAATTTCCAGCAGAATTGCAAGCATGCTTATTGTGACGATCCGAGCACGATAACAGCAATCAATCGACATACCATGCGGGCACCTCTGTAAGCTCTGGGGTCTTTGCTGTACTTTCGGATGAAGAGTCTCCCAGGTTCTGTAGGGAGCCGGGGCAGTGCCCCACCGACTTTTGAGAGGGCAAAATTCGAATGATGAGTGAGGGCGAGTGCTTTGAACACATGATACGCAATCATGATAAATCGCGTAAGGCGAACACGCTTGTCAATCATGAGCTATCATCATTCTAAATCCCGTTCCAGCGAATGCGCTGTTAAAGAATCGGGTCAGATCGTGTGTTGGAAAAGGTGCGAGTCGCAAACCCATCATTTCCCAATAATAATGCAATCAGTTATAAAATCTAATACCAGCCAAAAAAACCTGGTAAAGTAGTGCCCTTGGGAAAAAGAAAAAACAAGGCCTAATCGATAACAAGCACTGCGTGGGGACGAGCGATCACAACGGCAAAACAAACTCCCCTGATTCATCAACCTTATAATGCCGTCCCGAATAAACACCAAACATTAAATGGAGCATAGCTCCGCCCTTGAAAATTGTGCTAGTACTTCACTGGAAAACAGTCAATTTGAGAACCAGCCTTCTTAATAATCGAAGGACACACGAAGAACATGAAGTCTGTTCATTCTACTCTGCATAAGTTCAACAAAATCTTCACAGATTTGATCTCTAGTAAAGAAAACAATGAACTAGATGTAAAAATAAATGAAAAACAAAACACAACTATGACAAACGAGAGTTTAATAAAAAGTAGGAACAAGTTGCACAGTGAGAAATTCAACAAAAGAAGCTATTCGTAAATTATTAGCAAATGCAGAACAAAATAAACTGGTTAGAAGAGTCGGCAGAACGTCACACGATGACAACACCGGGTCGCAATCGTCCGCCTACTCGCTGAGTGCTCCATCGTCCTCATCGCTTGAAGACTCCGTGCCATCCTTTCGCAGAAAATGCGCGTACACAAGCGTTTCCGTCTAGAAAGAAGAAAGATAAAAAAAGCTAAATAGAAGCAAACATCGCTGATGAAGAAAGCTAAATAGAAGAAAAGCTAAATAGAAGAAAACATCGCCGACGAAATTTTGCCAACATTTAACTTTTGTTCAACACGGAATTACTTTTATTTCACTGAGCAGATTTAATATGTCGAGCAACTGTTTCAACTGAGAACAATGTGTTTATTCCAGAAATGTATAAAACGTACTCGCCCCAACTTTTGCAGGTAAAGTACACTTTTAGCAACATCCTCATGGAAATAAATCTTTTCTCCTGTTATATTAGGCACCGGATAATTTAGTGTCATTTGTCTGAGTTAAGAAAGTTTCGGAGCCGATTACCAAGGAAATCAATATCCCAGCAAGTCTTTTTTTGCTGTTTAGTACAGTGTTGCTTAATTTTCTATTGTTGGTTCACAATTTAACTTTCCCCCAATTTTTATTTTTTTGAAAATTCCTGGGTCCAGTGTGCAAATTCGCATGTGTGTACCAAATGCCTTCAAAGTCTTGCTGAGAGCTACAACTTCCGCCCACCAAACCAACATTGCATTTGTTGGAGGGAATACTACCATTTAAAATGCTCATCGGTTTTTCACAGTTTTCTCAAAAGACAGTGAAGTCTTTGAAGGGATGCCCTGCAATCGTCGTCGAAAAGGAGAGCATGGCCTATTTAACCTGGTGAAAGATTGCTTTTGAAACATTTAAGAACCTGGATTAAATTTTTGTTCCTCGGAATTCAAGGGAACTGTGTTAGCACAATGAATGACCTTTCAAAGAAAGCGAGGAGGAGCCAAATCCAGCACGAACTCGAGCCCTCATTTTTATGGGATCTTTGTAGTCAGCGCTAGAGTGCTCTACAACGAATGACTGACTCTAATATGGAAGTAAATGGGCTCGCACTTCTGGTTTTTGTGTATTAAGCTTGCTCGGAGAGTATCATATTTGAATTTTTTGAGGTCGTGGCGGTGGGAATTCATGGATCGTGTTCGGTTGCATGTCGTCTTTGAAGGATTTTTCATGATTTCCAAAAAAAAATAATTGAAAACCAGCATTCGCCACTTCAACTTTGAAGCATCCCCGCTGCTCAACAGCAATTTAAGAAACTTTGGAAAAGAATTTTTAGGTTGAGTTGCAATGTGTCATCCTGGCTCAGAATTCTAGAAACGGCCATGGTGGGGATGGTGGGGTAGTGGGAATGGTGCAAATAATTTTAGATCAGTGCGCCCTATGAATCATCAAAGCTCTACAAGTGCAAAAGATCCTGCTAAATTGATTCCATTGAATTAGTCATTTCTACAGCCATCTCGCTTGTATAGCGAGAGTAAAGCAATAAATCAGCAGGAACTGCAGGCCTATGTGCAAAAGCAGTATAGGAATAGTGGCGAAGGTCTCAGGAGCGAGCTATAGACACATGCAGCACAGTCACATTACACCTCTCTGTCCCATACATACCTCCAATCTGACGAATTGCACATTTGTTCGTTTGTACCCAGGAAGTTCGCGATCCCATAACTGCTGCTGAGCCTCACGTCCCTTCGTCGATCCATCGTTAGCGAAAACTGTCATTAGAAGCTTTGCAGGGCTAAAACGCTTATCATTTATTCTAGAATACTAGGGATTAATAATAGATACTTACCGGAAACACTTAAGCACTTCCTTTGTCTGCTTATATAGGCAAACAAGGTCCTGATTCGTCTCAAAAGATGCGAATGAAAATTCCTTCTCTGGTGTTACATGGATTGTGGCATAGTGATCCTGAAAATTAAACCCAAGAACTAAAGCGAAGAGTAATAGAAGCGAAACACACCGATTGACACATACCGATTCTGGTAGAAAAGCGTTCATGCTATATCCGCATGGATCAAATAACTCTTCATGATGAGCGTTCCATTTGGAACAATATGGTCTATGCCAGCACGCTGAAAAAAACGAATCAATCTTGAGGCTCCCTGAGAGGAAAACCGTTCTATTTACAAGTACTACGTTTGTAGTTCTATGTCGATGATGAAAGAGCCCCGTATGTTCGCACTACCGGAGAAATCAACACAGCCTTTTAACCAACTGGCAGCCGTGTGGGCCATATATAGCCCCCACTTATATAACCTACTTTCCCGTGCATGCGTGACTTCTTCCTAGCCTTTTCCATATTTGTTCTATAAATCATACCTTCAAAAATTAAGAAACGACAATGTTTCACACATGCGTTCACAAAGTCGCCATGCTGTTTCATATTTAGCAAGATCCTTAAACCTTACGAGGTTTTTTCAAGCTGTCACCAAAAACAAGGCCATATGAAAGATTGGCAACTACGTGTTTGACGAACAATCACGACAAAATGCAATAGTCTGATGTCAACTGAGGTATCACGTGTCTCTATTAACTTTTAAGAAAAGTGACGTTGTTCAGGAAAATGCTCCTTCTTAACGTTATGATTTGGCACCTGACCACCCACTATGAAACAGTCGGTTCGATGATGAAAATTTTGCGCAATTACGTCGACGGACTACTTGAACTCAGCCCTTTAAACCGCCTCTGCGTTCTCTCGCGGGTCCCTCTCCTCTCCAAGGCTTAGTCCTAGGGCATTCACCCGTTCTCTAATCGTCTGTGCTCTAGCCATCGCGGCAGGACCATTGAGGAAAAATCAAGTAGTCCGTAAACCGTTCCATTCCATTTCGCCTGTGCTCACGACGCAATCAACACATCAGAGGTGACTGCGCTCGCTACGCGCCAGTCTCACGATGGATGTGAATGCCAAAACGAGCGCATTTCTGCGTTGAAGACAATAGCGTCGATATCAGCGATGTCTGGCTATGGAAAGTAAAAAAGCTCTGATCAACGCAACAGCGTCATTCAAAAAAGCGGTGGACAAAAAAGGGTCATTTTGTGTTAGGAGTGCATTCCGTGAAATTCGATTTTATTCAGAGAATGCGCCCTTAGCACAAACAGTCTTGGTAGCAAGGAAACCAGCTTGTCTTAGCACTGGGAGTTTGGTGCGTGCACGTTTGCAGAAGTGACGAAAACACAAGTGGCACGGTCACCCCAAGAGTAACGTGCGAGCATAGCGTTTAGGGCGTTTGCTATTTCCCCTGACCTCCTCCGCCTCGTTTGCTGTGTGACTCGTTTTTCTTTTGTCGTTCCCCGTTGTAAAACGTATACGTCGAAAACGGCCAAAATGATGGCCTAACTCACGAGTTAGTGGACTCTTCCTTTGTTTTTCGAATGCCTTACCACCTCCAGCTCCCACTTTCACCGACAGCCAATCTATCCCACTCCTTTCTCCTTGTTCCTTGGTCATAAACGAATCTCGTAGCATAATATTCCACGAACTTTCTTCTATCTGTTCGTGTGCACAAAAGCTAAGTATGAACTGATAGCGTTTCAGATCACCTTCCCATTTACCAATAATCAACACCCATGAAGAAAGTTTACCTCTGTACAATCTTTTCCGTTTTCGCAAGCGTCCTTTGTGAAGATGTGGAGAACGTCTTCATCAAGGTCCGTCATGAGTATTTCCAGTGTGTGGTCCTGAATTAAAAGTTCAAAGACGTTCTAGAAACATCTGAAATTATCACTTCTGGGACCAACAAAGAACTATTGATCAAAATCGCATGCTAAATGTTCTAGGTGCTCCATAGCTTCTCTATAGTTTTTAGACAAACAACGTATTCCAAAGAGAATGGATACGTTTCACTTGGCTAATCTGCCATTCCAGTGCACTGAAATCTGAAAAGCACTGACCGCAAGTTTTGTTATCGGCTGAGGGACATGGTAAGTGTAGAGATACCAACGGTCTTGCTTGAGGGAACCCATACAATATGCATGTCCATCTGAAAATTGGACAATAAAATTTTGATGGCAAGCCTTCGTTCTGGGAAACAGTGAACGATAGGTGAGAAAATGTGTGGTACGATATCTTATTAATCCTTCTTTGATCAACAAAAATCATTGATAAGCACGCTGATAGATCAAGACTGCGAAATTCGCCTTCTGAAGGTTGAAAGTGAGATCACTGGACGTACCATGGAAGAAGTTGTCCAGAAAATCAACCTCAGCGTCGAACGAACGATGTTCTTCAGGTTGTAGCTCAGGTCGAAGGAAGTTCTTGCGTGAGTAGTACACCGACACCACCTAATATAAAGAGGAAATACTTTTTCAGTTCAATCGAATAAATAATTTAAGAACTGTTTTCGCATTCCGGTGATATGAGCCAATCCTGTATTTGCAAATACCCGAAAAATGTGACGCTTCTTTATTCCTAATCTGTTACTAGACTTTCTCGATGACAGCATGCTCGTAAAAGTTTAACAAGGTCAACTGATATGGCTGAATCGTCCCACCAAATAAGATAGCAGCACAAAATCATTCGATACGTTGCAATCTGTGGTTAGCAATGCTTTTCAAATATTCGTGAGGACTGCACCTGATCAAAACCTGCATAATCTGCAGCCAGCTGAATAATTGTTGGTAGTGCTGCAAGCAAACGTGTCCTTCCACATGTTTTCAAAATCAAACGACGTTCCGATACAAAAAGGCTGCTTTCACTGAAAGAGAGTTAGAGGTTTTTGAGCGAATAAAACACTCTAGATGAGATCTGAACTATTCACCTGAGAACGTAGCTGTCAATGAATTCAGTGTGAGCTGAGTGAAGAACTTTGCACTGGGCAATGTTAAGCATTGCGTCAAGCTCATATCTCGGTATGCGACGCAGAGAACCGCTTCTGCCGCTACTATTAGCAAACCACAATTTCAAGCAATTTTGCCGCCCGCCTGCAAAAAGTTGGGATTGGAAAACTGAGCACACAAAGCTCAGATGAGTCTTGATCGGCTCCAATAGCTTGAGCCTGCAGTGAATTTTAACCCCATGAATCGTCCGAACTATTTATCGTTAGACCAAAGCTTTGTATGACTAGGTCTCATATTATAAAAACCAATTTGACGAGTTTTCATCATCTTCTTTCCAAACAATTACATCGGCAACTACAAATATCAACATTTTCTCTGGCGTCAGAAAGGTGACAGCGGCACTTCGAAACATGCAGCCATCTAGTTCTTGAAAGACTTCCCAGACTGCATCTCAGTAATTTGATACGATCATGCCGAGAGGAACGCAATGATACCCAGAAGATTCCTATTTCTCTCTATCATTGGCCTACTACTGTGAAAAAAGAAGCACAATCCTCCAAGGCCCTTCATAGATCGGGGACGGATTGCACTATCGAAAACGATCCTTGGAATGTGCTTCGGACGAATGAACATGGCAATGCTGTGCACTCGTTCGATACGAACGAGCCGACTATGAGCACCTAACACGCAGCTGTCACGGAGACATGTTTAAAATGATGGCTAAGCTACAGTTATGGTTATCATAATAAACATTAGACACACTGATCTCGCTAGAAAGAACGCTTTGATAAATGGTTATTTGAATACCTTCAAAGAAGTACTCCTCCACTGGGGTTTTCTCCTCTAGGTTGCTAGTTTGAATCACGCTGGACTCGACCTTCGATGACATCTGAATTTGAACATATTAAGCAATCATTTCCGCATGAAAGCGTTCCACACTCACGTTGTTCTACTTCACTGGTTCTCCTGGACGCTTTTTGCAAAGAAGCAGAAGTTAGTGGTAAAATCACTGTTGAGTGTTTGAAAGTTGCGAAAGATAACTTTCGGACCTGCTAAGGAGGACGACGGTAAAGCACGAGGATGAGGGTCTCAATGTCTGGACCCATACAATCCTGAAAATGCATATGATAATGACAGAAGATCTGGTAGTAATACTCAATTAAAATTGAAGGCACGAGCCACTATTAGATTCTCCTAGCAATTCTCTAATTGAGTGAGGTATTAGGATCCCCAAGCACAGGAGTCTCAGCACTGTCATGACTTGGAATTACGGCAAGGGCGCTAAGGCCTTGCCGCACTTCCAAGTCACGACAATCCAATGCGACCATTTTCACGCGTTCGCAGCCTCCTCGTGCGGTGTGCTTTCTCGCTCATTCCCTCGCCTCTCGCGCTGTGTCTGTCGTCCCACGGTCGACCTTACCAAAAAGGAGGTAATTAGCTCATTGTTTTTTCATAGAGAATTCCTTTTGCTTTCCTTCACTCGGTTCTCTTCACAACTCTTGCTTCATTCTCAGGCGGAATAAGGCACCAATGCAATCGCGACCAGTGCCTTTAAATCCGTACTTTGAAAGAATATCATGAAACAAGAAACGATACAACATGCTCAATCCGCTTTGCTGCGTGGTTGCTGAAAATATTTTCATGATAGAATTGAAATTTCAAGTTGATCCCAGAGTACATATGTACGAAGACACGTGACCACCTCAGCTGCTTGCAGTTCAAACATAGGGTACATAATAACATAACAGCTTCGTGTTCGGTTGACACAAGCCAGGTTAATGGTGATAGGGATACATCAAAACCTTCTTTCATTTATGCCATAAACACTCAAAATCTTTCTTGGCCGCTGCAAACTGAGCTGTCAATGACTAAATGAATTGTCGTGCTATTTTGATGGAAGTAAGGACAGTGGACATTACTATTATTATGAACTTGACTTATGTCAAACAAACCCGAGGTCGTGAAAAGGTAAAATGTAAGCTGACAGACGATCTATGCGCCGCTGGCCACATGATGAGGTAACGTCCTTGGTAGTGAGGGCGATTCTGTCGTCCTGCGCTGGCGCACATATTAGCTTCTAATGATGACTTAATCTGTTTCCCTAAGAGCGTAAGGGCACCTTGAGTTTAAGTTGTTGATAGACAGCTCAAGAGACCACAGCGCAATTCTAAAAAATCTACTTCTGGCGCAACTATGGTGGACACTTACAATTCCAAAAACTAAGAATATTTTTAAGCCTGAAACTACACGCACTGGAGTTATAGGGGGCTCCGATCACGAACGACATTCAATTTACTTCCTTTCGGTTCGACGCCGAATTAGTAGGTGTTAATATTGGCTACCGCTCTCGCTAATGACTTGTACGATATGGTAGGACTGATTATGAATTTTGATAGCTGCTTCAAGCGCAAAATCTGACATCTGCCTTAAAAGCAGTTTGAAGCCAAATGAAACGGGCGCCAAAATGGATGTGATGTTTGTGATCAAGACTGGGTGAAACGGTCGAGGAATCCTCAACAATGGGGGTCATATTAGGTCCAGTGGGAAGTAGGGGGTAAAAGTTCCAAGGTCAGCAATGATAAGAGAAGCGGCAACCTGTTCGGTAGCATACGGCAACCCTGACGCTGTGTTTAGAGTGCACGGCGCGTCCCTGAGTGAGTATGACCAATGCCATGCGCTTTAACTCCCGCTCAGGGGTAACAACGCAACGAAGGAGAATTTTTCGGCGGTATTCGAACGAAAATTTTCCATTTTCATTGACAGCCTGAACCCTGGGACCAGTCAATTTTTCTAATATCCGTTGACTTCAGAGCAAAACGTTCACTTCTATTAGCCTAAACTAGTAAGCATTTTAGGTTTGCCGATGGATCCCCTCCTCCCGGGTTATGTTGCGGCTCCGACAACGATTGCCCCACCCGACGGGCACTAGCGGCCCAAATTGAAGGTCTTGTGTTGTACAGTCTCATATTTTAGTTACGCATCTTAAAAAAACCTTAAAAGAGCTCTCAAACAGCGCTCTGCACCAACACCACCACGTTTTGTGTTTGAATATTGAAGTGTGTGCACCACGGGTATACACTTCAATATTCAAACACACCACAAGTAATATGACAGCTGCCTGCACCTTGAAACCCTTCTATTCTAAAAACTTTCGAACAACGGAGTCCAATCTTACCTCTTGAATGCTATCGAAATCGAGTTCTCTGATCGCTATCGACTGCCAGAGAGTAATGCTGGGGATCTTTCCTTACGTGAGAAAGAAAAACGCAAAAGCCGTGCGATGCGGTGAAGCCGACTGGGATCTTGGCAACGACGAACCTGCAATTACGAATTAGTGAAATGCTGTCCGCTTTCAATAAGGGGAGGGAATCCAGAAGGAAACTCTCATCTAAGTTATGAGATGTAAATTTACATATAAAGGATTCTGGAATAAAAAACAATGAGGTAGACACGCCCCGGCTTCCCGCAATGGAAATAAATTACAGAGAGCGCATGCGAAAACGCGAAGAAATGCACACTGAGCTTTCTACTATGATTTGCTGACAATGCGAACCTTATAAACGGCATTCGTTTGAATACATTAGAAACACACAGTTTCCAAAGTCCGGCAGAACCCGCGCACGGTCTACGGACTGCTTGGGCTCGGTCCTTTAAACCCCTGCCTTAATTGGTTACAAGGCTTCTGTCAAAGGGGTGAGAGTGTAGAAGGAAAAGCAGACGTTCTTTGTGGTAGTGGGACTAAGCCTTTCAAAGGAGGTAAAGAAAGCGGAGATTCTGTAATAGTGCGCTTGTGTGAGAGCTCCCAGACAGCACAACAAAACGCTGAATTGCCTAGCCTCACGGTTGACAGATGTCCGGACTCTCACTTCATCGTCCCCATCTGAAGCTGAGTCAAGCCCGCCCCTTCTCCAGCGGGGCTCAAGCTGTTCTTGGCAGGACCATAGAAAGAAAATTTAAATAATCATTAAAATCCTTCCCAATCAGTTCGCGAGCACTCTGAACGGAGGTAAGCAAACCAGCCCTTTTGGCGTTTCGGCTGGGACCGTATGCTGAATGTTGGGGAGGGGATGGGGTCCCCAACGGTCGACGGTTTACTTCAACTCGGTTGGTACGATAGGAGAGTACTGACGCAAGTGGTGCAGCTGGTCCAGCAGCTCCGCCAGAAGGGCTGGTTTGCTCACCCCAGGACTAAGCCTTGGAGAGGGGACGGACCCGTCCTCTCTTTAAGGCTTAGTTCTGAGGTAAGCACCAAATTGTGGCGGTTCTAAGGACCGAGTTGAAGTGGTCCGTCCACCGTCGGGGACTCCATCCCCTCCCCAACATTCAGCATACGGTCCCAGCCGAAGCGCCAAAAGGGCTGGTTTGCTTACGTCTATCGAGACTCGAAGTATGAAATCACGGGATCAGGATCGCAGCAGTCGGAACACTAGCCAGCAGAAAAGTTACCGTAAATTTTGGAAAATCCTGGCTGAAGCGCTGGTCCGAAAATAGGATACAAAGAAAACATCGGAGCAGTGTTTCGGGAATCCAAAAAAGTGACAATTGTGCAGTGTAAAGTCTGGCAGAACAAAAAGTGCCCCTCTTTTCACTTCAGCACCTAGATGAGATTGACCCAAAGCGTCCCATCGCGCTATCGTCACGAAGGCCTTCAAAAATACCAGGTTTTGTAATTTTTGCAAAGATGAAATTACTCTTCAAACGAGCTCACACCAAGCCCACATCATAACAACAAAACTTACGCTCGTCTTGATGCTGTTCCTTTTGGCTCCATAAGACCCTTGGGAAGCTGAAAATAAGAGCGCTCAATTTTCAAACATCGTTTTGAACTTGATAAAGCCTGCACACAGAATGAGGGTTCTTAGGTCAGTGTCGTGAAGTAAACCTACTTGAACTCAGCAAAACAACCGGATTTGGTTCTGACCACAGCTAATCTGACCCACAGCGGTTGGCATTAGATAACTGAGTTACTCGTCTTGAAGCCGGTGGTGATCGAAGCACACAGAGGTAGGAAATGGAGCGAACTCATTCGCTATGGCTGAGCACTCGTCCTTTCTATTTCAAGGCGCTCTGGCGATGATAAGAGCCGACCCCAAAGAGTCTTGCACTCAGTAAGTCTGCAGCACATTAGCTTGCTGGCGAATCGTCTGTAGCAAATTTTGGAGCTTTTTGGAACCCGTTGGCACACTATCTGAGATTTGCCATTCGGGAAATGAGAAGAATTTCGCAAGTCTAAGGGACACATATGTGTACCTCGCCGCCACTCGACTTTTGGAGTTATGGGGGTGGAGCTGGAGTGTGTCAAGTGGTAGCATCGACCGCTGGAAGGAGGTCTTATAGGAGATCCTTACAGAGGTTTCCGACGGCGCTGACTTATGGAGGATGGGACCATGCGGCGGCGCGGCGCTCTATTCGTCTACAACTGAGGCCTACTTGTAGGGTTCGAGTACTTTAGCCGCATCGTGGCATTTTCGAAATGCAGTAGCACCGCGGGCTAACTTGGAGAGGAGGACAAAGTGGCCCGCCGCTACGTGGTTCCCTTCCCCTCCCCCCCACCCCCAACTGAGTTAGCACATGTCCGACTTCAAAGGAGCTCTGTGACAACGTAAGGGTTGGCCTTGCTCAACATCAGTCTGCAGTACTTGGAAGCATTTGCGCTCCTGGTAATTAATTGCTACACCATTTTCGATGCTCATAAGATTGATCTTTTGATGATAGGTCTTTTTTCCACACCAGAGAGGGACGTAAAGCGCTCACTCATTCGGTCTGGCATTGTAACAAAATCTTTGTCTTCAAAACACACTATGGGTTCGGCGGGAGATACGGTAGTGACTCATCAGATGGAATACGCTGATGAAATTCTCTTTTTCTGATGCGGTCGAGATAGCATTC